AATTTCTTTTGCAAGGTCAATGGAATGTGACCCTCACCTCAGCTCTGAGGTAGATAAGGACCATTATCTTCATTGAAAGAAGAGACTCAGGAAGCCAGCTTATGACTGAAGGTCATGCAAGAAGTAAAGAAGCTAAAACAAGCTAATCTTCACAAAGGGAAGATTATGAATTGCAGATAGAAGACCAGGTGAACTTAATGTCAATCCCCAACAAAATGCTACAAACATTACAAGAACAGACTAAAACACACACACACACACACACACACACACACACACACACACCTCTTTAGAAGCTAAAAACCATTTTATTATGAATGAGTTATATGAAGCTGATATTATTTTCTTTTTTCAAATGAGCTGTAAGACCCTTACTAAAACACACACACACACGCACACACACACACACACACACACACACCTCTTTAGAAGCTAAAAACCATTTTATTATGAATGAGTTATATGAAGCTAATATTATTTTCTTTTTTCAAATGAGCTGTAAGACCCTTACTAAAACACACACACACACACACACACACACACACACACACACACACACCTCTTTAGAAGCTAAAAACCATTTTATTATGAATGAGTTATATGAAGCTGATATTATTTTCTTTTTTCAAATGAGCTGTAAGACCCTTAGAAGTTCAGAGAGGGCTGCCAGCAAGGCATCTGACAAGCTTTCTCTGCAGGGCGACTGAAACTGTGTCACCTCCATCACTACTGACTCTCCTTTTATTCAGCACAATGGAACATGGGGCTCCGGATAGTTACTGAATGAAGAATAAATGAATTCGGTCTTGACATACAAATTCAGGAAATGTAGGCTAGAGGGCAAGAGTAAGATGATTCCTAATTAAATGAGCACCTACCTCAATGAAGTTCTGATGAATATGGATTAACTTAAACCAGAAAGACCTATCTTAGTGCTCCGGTGTAGTCTTTTCCTAATTTTTAAATCAATAACTTGAAAATTTAAGATAATAATCATCTTTCCACTTCAGCTACCTTAATCATCATTGAACACTTAAATTTTCATTATGGTAAGCATTCATGTATTATATATTCCTCCAGTAATCTTTGTGAAAAACTTCTATAATTCCACTGTATAGAAAAGAACACTGAAACTATAAAATTAAAGGTTAAGCAGGCTGAGTATAGGGGCTCATGTCTGTAATCCTAGCACTTGGGGAGGCCGAGGCGAGAAAATTGCTTGAGCCCAAGAATTCGAGACCAGCCTCAGCAACATAGTGATACCGCATGTCTACAAAAATAAAAAATTAGCCGGGTCTGGTGGTGTACATCTGTGGTCCCAGCTACTCAGGAAGTAAGGCGGAGGATCACTTGAGCCCAGAAGGTCAAGGGTGCGGTGGCCATGATCATGCGACTGCCCTCCAGCCTAGGCAACAGAGTGAGACCCCAACTAAAAAAAAAAAAGTTAAGCAATCTTCTCAGGATGACACAACTAGTGAGAGACAGAGAAGGATGCAGAGCTCAGCCTGTCTGACTCCCAAGCTTGTCATCTTAGCCAACATATGTGTTACACTTATCAAGTCTGCAGAGATTACAGAGCTCTGAAGGCCACATAATACATGGAAGCATGCCATCATATTTTGAATTAAAATGGAAAATAAGCTTAACAGATCTGGTGAGGACATGAATTATTTAAAGTACTAATGGAGAAAAGAGAGATGAGATTTATTCTGTACAGACCTAGAAAGAAAATCTTGTACTGAAAATAGATGTTTCAGGGAATTCTTATTTCTTGTTGGATTTCTTACTGCTCCTCAAGGCAGTAAGGTTTCCTGTCTAAAAGTACTTAGCAAGAAGCTGGCTGATATGTCAGAGATGTTCTTCAAGGGTACAATTTAGAATCTATGACCTCAAAGTCCCCCTAGTTTTATTTATTTCAGAAAACATTTTTAGAACACGGAGCAAGCCAGGCGTGGTGGCTCAAGCCTGTAATCCCAGCACTTTGGGAGGCAGAGGCAAGAGGATGGCCTGAGCTCAAGGGTTTGAGACCAGTCTGAGCAACATGGCCAAGATCTTGTCTCTACAATAAACCAAAAAAATTAGCCGGGCATGGTGGCACATGCCTGTGGTTCCAGCTACTTGCAAACCTGAAGTGGAAGGATCACCTGAGCCCAGCAGGTTGAGGCTGCAGTAGCTGTGAGCGTGTCACTCCAGCCTGGGCAACAGAGTGAGACCTCGACTCAAAAAAAAAAAGAAAAAGAAAAGAAAATAGAACACAGAGCAGGGATTCCAAGTTGACAGAACTCTGTCAACTTACATATTTCATAATCTGAAACTTTATTTTTCTGTGTATCACATTCACCCCGATCTTTTTTCCTAAATGCAATTCCTTTTGGAATACTCCACCTAATATGACCATATATGTACATGAGAAAAGTTCTTGTACCATCATCCATAATAATAATAAAAAAAGGAATCAACATGGATGGTCAACCACAAAGACGTGGTTAGATAAATTATGGAATACTATACAGAAGTAAAAGAAAGGGTTAGATGGCAAAAGTGGTTATACAATATGCATAAAGTAGTAAGATGCTTAAAAAAACAAAAACCTACATGGATTTGCATAGAAGATTATGTATAAGCATGTTTACAAAGTATTATCTTTCATATAAAAAATTGCTAAACATCAATTCAGGGTAGGCTGGAACAATTTTCCAAAGAACTTAATCAAGATAAACACACAACTTGAAAACGCTGGCCTAGAGCGGGCAGGGTGGCTCACGCACTATCCTTTGTTTTTATTTTATTAATTTTAATTTAATTTTATTCTTTTTATTATTTTAGATTCAAGGGGTTTTTGTGCTTTTTTAAAGGACTCTGGGCAGGACACAGTGGCTCATGCCTATAATCCCAGCACTCTGGGAGGCCAAGGAGAGAGGATCACTTGAGCATAGGAGTTCCCATCCTAGGCAACATAGTGAGACCTTACCTCTACAGAAAAATCAAAAATATTAGCCAGGCGTGGTAGTGTGCACCTGTAGTCTCAGCCCAAGAGGTAGAGGCTGTGGTGAGTTGTGCTTATGCCACTGTACTCTAGCCTGGGTAACAGAGTAAGACAAAAAAGGGAGGGAAGGAGGGAGGAAATGTTGACCTAACTCTTCCTTTAATAGCATATATTGGGAGACATTGCTTTTTGGCTTCAGTTTTTGCTTTTGCCAAAATTCTCTCACCTAAGTGACTCCCTTTTTCAGATCTGTTAAAGTTAACATATTCATGCAGATGAAGGACTTTATCTTCAGCATATACTAATAATAAGTGTTTAGTGATATATTAAATGTATCTTTAGCTTACCTAAATTTAACTATATGTTTTAGGCAAAATAAATAAATTACTATAGATCATGGACACCAATTATGAGCTAACTATGTTATCTGGTTCTTAACTGTATGAGTTGGTCTACTATTTGAGGAAAACCAGTTGTATTGGAAATATTTTAGGGTTATACATTATACATAAATCCATGTATTCTGTTAATGAGGAATTAGTAAATTCTGAAGGGAATTTTCTGTTTGTCATCAATGTGTGGTGAACCAAGGTAAAGTAATGCATTAAAAGACATTGGTTCCCCCACCTTCTTAACATGAACTCAAGAATTATTGGAACCTAATCCCCATTAAAGATATAATTCTACTGCACTTCTAGAAAAAGGACAGAATGAAATAAGTATCAATATTTATCAAACACTTACTATGAGCCACAAACAACCATAAGAACTTTATATACATTATTCTATTTAATACCTTAAAAAACCATGGTACATCTCCAGTTTTACAGCTGAGGAAATTTAGGCATAGGTAGAGATTACACACAATCAGAAAATGAACTTTCATTGTACTTTTTAAAAAATTTTGTTCCTTTCTTAATGAGTCACAGATATAAATGTATTTTTATTAAACTTAGACACATTTTCCCTCTGAAACACTAATGAAAATATCACCTCTCTCCTCAACATCTTCTCCCCACACTAAAGGCCCTTTTCCCAGAGAGGTGTGCTCTGGGAAAGCGTGACCTGTTAAGTCATCCTGCTCACTAACAACGTGAAGATGAACAATGTAAGTATAGACATCTGCATGGTTCTTAAAATGAGGCCTAAAGATGGCACTTCAGAGTGAGATGGAAAAGGTCCAATAGTTTACCCTCTTTTGTCACTCTTCCATGTGCAGTACAGAATAAAGACAAAAAGTGTCTGGGGAGAAAGATAAAAGGATGGCATAGAAACAAAACCACAGACTGCCTTAGTTATCAGAGATATGATTTTCAATTATTAAAATAATATATTAGGCTTTATTGGAGCCCCTGAAACAGATCCACTGGAAAAACTGGCCACCTAGAGTTAGGGAACACTTTTGTTTTTGCTGCCACATGCAGCCAGTCACCAGTGTAATAAATTAAAATGTTATACCACTTTCTTCTCTTAGTCAATTTCAAATGTTGATGCGTACTATTTTGACAATCGAATCAATACCAATTGGAAATTCTGCCTCAACTAACACCAAATATTTGGTGACAAATGTGAAGTAATACATTAAAACATTGGTCTTTTCTCTCCCTTCTTAATACTAAAAGCAAGTTTTTCATTTCCTAGAGAGATAAATGAAGCACCTGAATAGCTAATATTTAAGCTACAACTAATTAAAAAGATATAACTGGTTCTTCAAATGTATATCTACATATGCAAACTGAACATTAAGATACTCTTCCTTTAGGCAGTTCAAATGGCTTGCATACCAATAATGATACAGAAATATCTCATCACAGCAGATGCAAGATTTATCATCAAGTCACCCAGGTTCATGCCATTTTCAAACACATCTATCATCAGACCCTGATCTGCCCCATGCAATGCTAGTTTAAATTTAACCTTCATAGGAGATGCATTACAAAATGCAGGTAGAAACACACCCAAACATTTTATATGCCACATATGTATCCGTTCAAAAACAAAGTCAATACTGTACCTGGTTATTTCTTCTTTAAGTTTACATGGATCTTCAGCATAGAATTTAATACCAAAATACAAAGTATATGGAGGTCCAGCTAAAATAAGAAATAGAAAATAAATTTCACTAAAATTATACGTTAGTCAAAGTAAAAGTATCATATTATATAACTATTTACAGTTACACTAAGAATTTCTAAAGACATAAGAAAAACACAGGCTGAAAACAGCAGGGTTTAGAACTGTGACATCAGGACCTCAGCTATGCGTGTATGTTCATATATGTGTGTTTCTGCATATACACACACACAGAAAAAAGACAGGGCCAAAAATATCAGAATGCTGCTAGTTTTTACCTCTGGTTGGGGAGGTTATGCACAATTTTTATTATTTCTGTTCTTTTTCCCAGTCTTAATACATATGTAATGTTTTCATATTGAAGAAAGAATATTGATAAAATATCGCCAAAAAATGTTTTAAACCTATCTGCAAAAAGCTGGAAACAAATGCTCAGCAGGAGATAGACTAAATCAACCACAACCACAGGACATATACACCACACAAATGTTTAAACAGACCGAGGGAGAGCTGCATGTGATGATATGGGAAAGATCGCCCATCTATATTCCTGTGTGCAGAAATATGATCCCTGTTGTGAAAAAGTCAAGTATCAATTACTGTATGTTTAGCTTATTTTCCGGAAGAATAAACAAGGAATAATTAAATGGAAAAACTTGGGAAGGAGGACTAGAAACAGTCTGCCTTTAAATTTGATTTGTTAGCATTTTCTTATATTTCTTACCCTTTTTAAGGGAAAAAAGTCATCAGTAAGGCTATATGATTAAAAGCAATATTTATTTTATTCTTCAATGTTTCTGAATCTAAAAATGTGTTCTCACATATTTAAGAAAACATTTCTCACTTCATTCATTTACCATACACAGGAGAACTAAATCTATAAATAAAATTTTTTATAAAATCAGAAACAAAACCTGGAATTGTGCATATGTGAGCAAGTATAAAATAAATAATCAAACACTCATATTGTGCAAGAAGCCCCATGCCAACCACAGAATAGCATGCTTTTACTAGAAACACTTCTATTTCTGAGGGTATGAATCTGATCCACACTATTTCCAAAACTGCATACCTCCAAGCTGTGTGGTAACTAGATCTAATGTGCTTTGCCTTTAAAAAGGTATTGCTACGTGGTAGACCAACTGATAGTCACAGTTGCTAATTTTTTTTCAACAAAAGTTCTCTGACTCATATTAAAAGGAAAAGATGTGAAGCCTGCACCTCAGCAAGGTCTATGATACTGTGCCACTGTCATAAAGTAACCCCATTCTTGCAATTTTTATTTTTAACTCTGTAAATAAAGTTACAAATTTAGACGTTGGGGAAAGGAAATTAAATAGAACAAGTAATAAAGATATAATGCAAGTAATAAATAATTAATGCATAATGCACTGGGTTTTTATTACACACACACATACACGTTTATGTTTGCAGTGCCCTAAAGCCCTGTTCCTGGCACACAGAAGACAAGACGAGGACCTTGTCCTTCTCACCTTATCTATACCTTCTTGTGTCTCCTTATGCTAGAACCTTTTTTAAAACTAAACTTAAAAAGAAACTTTGCTAAAATTTTAGTATTAGAGTTCATTCCATATGTTCGATTTTTATGTTTATTTAACCACTGTATTTGTATTTCTGACAAATACACCTCTATCCTCAAACATAGATGTCAGGGAGGCATAGACTATTAAATATTTAGAAGAGCCAGGAAGTCCATCCCCAGCAGATCTGTCTATGTCAATCAAGCTCTGTGTTCCTGAGCAGATGGGTCTGCCTGTGCCCGCAGGCAGCTGGGGTTGGCACCAGGGGGGAAGGGAGGAACACAGATGCTGCTGGGATGGGGCACAAAAGGAAAAGAACTTATCCAGAGCTGCTTCTTTTCTCAGGAACATGACAGATTACACCCTATTCACCAAGCCCAGCCATTTCAAATGTGTTCAGTGTGTGTAGCTATGCGGAAGTTTGAAAAATACACAATGAAAAACATTTGACTTTAACTAATTTTCTTTACGAACTTTTGGCCCAAATCAGTTCTCCATTTCCCACTCCATATAAAATGGTTCTGTTCTAAATATAAGGTATCACGGCCATGGGATTACATTTGGTAGTGTACAAAAATGTTTTTTATACACTTTTGATTCTCAACAAAAACAACTTGGTAACATGCAAGGCAGGTGAAGCTCCAAGGAGTTCGGCAACTCATCTAAAATCACAGGGAAGAAAACCAAGTTTGCTAACATCTAGAGTTCAGTGCTTTTTGGGGACACAACTCTATATAGCCTCTCAGGGAAAAATAAAATAATATCTCTAGAGTGAGACAATAGCCTTATATACATTACGGTGTCATAGAGCAATCAAAGGCTATAGAAATGAACATTTCAGAGCAAGGATATGTGTAGCCCAGATATTTTTTGGCTTCCTATCCTAAGACTGGCGACAAAAAATTCAGGTGCTGATGATGCAAATTACTAAATTATTGTCTTGAATCCATGTCATTCCATAGACTCAACATGTAAGAAACTGCCATGTAAAATAAAGTCAATATTGTTTCATTTTAGCAAAAAATACAGGAGCCAGAGACTGAGAATCCCCAATCTACATTTTGTGTAGACTAATTTTGAGGCCTTTAATGATAAGGAGCTTCCTATTAACTCAGGAATAAATAAGTCACAACTTACCTACAAGAATTCTGGTTACTAGCAAAGGTTTTGTTATTTTTTAAATAAATACTCCTTCTGACTAATCTACAGAAGATTTGATGACTATTTTCCTTCACTATCAAACTATTTCATGAGATGAAATATAGGCTAGAGCTGTAACTTGTAAACTCCAGTGGTTTCTACCACAAAGGTGGAAATGCAGAAATACCAGTGACACTGATGTTCAGAGAAACAGCACTTTCTGATGGTTCTGCAGTCCCTGGTTTCCAGTTCCTTTCTGAGGTATAGTGAGGTCCCTACACTTGGGGCGATGAAGCATCACTCAAGCAACACGACCATAGGAAACAAGCCGAACACACAGAAAGTAGACTCAGGAAGGGGGAAATAGAGGCCAGAAGAACACACTAGCAATAACTGATCAGCATTAATTCACATAGTTAAGCCAAAAAGGTTTAATGAGTACAGAGTTTCAGTTTGGGGTGATGGGAAGTTTTGGAGATGAATAGTGGTGATGGTTGCACAAAAATGTATATGTGCATAATGCCACTAAATTGCACACAAAATGATTTAAATGGTAAATGTTATTTATATTTTACAACAATTTTTAAAAGAAAATTATTTTAGAAAGACTGTTCTTTTGTATACTTAAGGAACATGTGTGTATATAAATAAATATATAAATAAAACCTGGGTTATGGAAATTAAGATTAAGTAATATGAACTTAATTACACTGAGACTCCCAGCTATTTTCATATTTATTTTAAAAAAAGGTAGCCCCAGAAAATAGATGTGATCTAAAATGGCAAAGCCACTTCAAAATCCAAGAAACTCAAGGTTTTTAAAAACTTGGATGCCGTGTGTGTGTGTGTGTGTGTGTGTGTGTGTGTGTGTGTGTGTGTGTGTTTCCCTCAAATCAGTGCCTCTTTGCACTTTCTGTTTTGAGGTCAAATTTTAAAGATAAACACACAGGAAAAAAGGCAGACAAAATCAATGAAAGACAAACTCCTAGAGCAAATTCAATATTAAGATCCACTCAAAATCTGATTAAACTAAAATTTAATTGGAGTTTGGAGACAGCATGGCAGTAGACACAATACTCATTCCCATATTCTGCTACCCAAGTACTAGTACTCAACTCTCCAATGTTAACGTCCATTTCTGCACCCAACCCAACCATGGACTTTATAACCCCTTAACGAAGTAAAAATTAAATACCTACTGTTAATCAGTTCTTTATGTTCAGCAAGAGTTTTTGCAGGATCCAGCCAATACTGTGTGAGAAGGAAAAGGGTAATTATAGAAATTAGTTGCTTCTCATTGGTCTTTCAAAAATGTTTGCAAAATGTTAGTGAAATGACATTTAAAAACTTGATAATTAAAAGACTTCCTTTATATATATACACACACACATAAAAGCTTTCTGCAGCTAGAACTGTAAAATGAGAAAAATGATGCTGACATTGGGAGAGAAGCAGAGAAGAGAAGCAGCACTTGCTGGGTCCCTGGATGAATTATCTCACTGATTATAAGGTTCACATGCTTATAAGTGAGTTTCTTACTACTTTAGGTAGGAAAACAATGACCACAAAGAGCACCCTCTGAGTCTCTTTCCAAAGTTCCTATCACAGCTCACCTTAAAACCACAGCTCTCCCTAAAATGTCTTCACCCTTTTCACTCCCAGACTCATCGCTCCACAAGTACCGGTGCCAGGTGTTAGGAAGAAAGCAATCAAATTAAGACAAGTTCTCATTAAGGATCGGGGAGAGCAGTTTGGTGCAGTGGCCGAAGGCCTGAGTCCCGGAGCAGACTTATCTGGATTCCCCCTCCACCCCAGCCCCCCCCATCATCATGTAGCGGGACAAGTGAAACACCTCAGGACCTTCCTCATAGGCTTGCTGTGCGATTATATATGCTAATTCATGTAAAGTCTTTAGATTAGCCCCTGGCTCATGCAGCACACACTCCAGCTGATGATTATTATTAAGGTATGACGGTCATTCTTAATAACTGCCTTTAGCCAGTCTAAAGTACTTGTTTATTAATTTAGATGAATCTTTAATGAATAGAATGTTAAGCAGTGATGGGAGAATTCTGGGCCCTGGGGAGAGACCTTCCTTTAACACCTTTGTGAAATTAAATCACTGAAAGAGAAGAGACAGGCCTCTAGCCTCCTCTCTCCATCTGTGGGAGGAGTAGGGGAGAAGTCAAGAAAACATGGAGAGGGCAGCAGGAGTTCCCACAGAAGGACAGTCAAAGGGATGAAGGGGAAAGGGGGAGGGCAAAGATGAACTCTCCCCCCCAACTGTCCTAGGCAAATGGTCAGGACCCCAAGGGCCAAGATACCCAGTTTCCTCGTATTCTTGAAGAAGGGGAAATTCTCACTGCAGGGAGGTAGGAGCTGACCCCCCTCAACCACCTTGTGTGATCCCTGGTGAGAGCATTCACACCCTCCGACACCCATGGGTCAGGAATCAAGGGGCTGCAAGAGGAGCGCTAAAAACCTACTTGCCCCATTCCCTTTCCTTTCCCTCAGTTGAGGGCACAATGCTTGTTTCTGCCATATAATATAAGAGTAATAGTCATTATAAATACTAACAATACTTTACACAATCCCCAGACCTTTTATAACTAATTATTTAAAAAATTATTCATACTAAACATATGTCATAGTCTTTGACTACAAGATCATATTCCAGTGTTAAACTCTACACATGTATACATGACCTTCACTTTGTGCCACTCACGTAGCAACTTCAATTTTCAAAATTTTTACGAAGTAAAGTAACCAACCTATGAGGTGTAGCAACTTCAAATGTTTATTATTCTGGTCACCATCATTTTTCATTTTTTAAAGGTCTAGAATCACTCACTTTTAAAACAGAAAAAGTATTTGAAGCACAGGATGTATCAGTGAAAGGCTTTTGGAGCCTACAGTGACTAAAGACATAGCTTTGGTGTTCAAATAATGGTTCACAGGGAAACTCTGGTTCATCCAAGCAGAGTAAAATCAATCCAAAGGTCAAGCTGTGTGTTGGACACAGAACAGACCCACCCCTCTCTATAAGCTGTGAATTCTTCCATAAAATGGGCACATTAAGTGGGGAGACTATTTCTTGCCATTTATGTTCAATAAAAAGGTTTGACTACAAGCACAAATACCCATTAACACTGCAGGAGACTTCTATTGCTGCAGTTAACAATCACCATAAACTTAAACACTTAAAACAACATCCATTTATCTCAGAGTTCTGAAGATCAATGGCTTTCTTTGCTCCTGATTTCATGCAAACCCTCCTGAAGGGTTGTTTAGCTACAGGATCTTATCCTCCATCACACAGTAAGAGAGGGAGCTTGTAGATGGGTCATCAGAGGCTCTCCCAGTTTTACCTAGATATCATGGCACATACTACTGGGCCTTAATTTTAAGCCTTACACCATATTTACATATGAGTTCTCAATAAGTGTTTATGGCAAGAAAGGAGGGAAGAAAAGGAAGCAATCTCTGGTCTTACTACTCTCTGGCTAATCTTGAAAATAGTAAGAAGCAGAAATCAAAAAAAAGCTTTTTAATTTCTCCTTTTAACATCATCCTACAAAGACAAATCTTATAGATTCCTTAATTCATTTTTTGTTTTCCTATTTCCAGAATGTTTTTTGGTCATTAAAAAAAAAAAAAAGCTAGGTTAAAAAAAAAGAAGGAATTTTTTAGCTAAATGAAATAGGAAAGACAAATTAACCTTTCAAAAAATTTCACATAATGATAATCTGCATAATTTTAAAATAAGTATCTTTCCTTGAGAGTGATTAAATTTGTGAAGTGAAAAAATATAATGAAAGTTCTGAGATGAGTTAGAAATGACAATTTGGCAGCAAAACAAGAAGAGGCAATTCAATCAAAGGCTATTCAAACAATTCACTGTATATTAGCTATGCTAAGCATCAACTCAGAGCTTGCCACACACAAATCTCATTTGATCAAAATGGAAACCAGGGGTTACAAGGTCAGACAATGATAAATGCCCCAGAACATAAATAATAAACACAAGCCACCAGGTTTCATAAACCAAGATCTTGAAATGTAAAACCCACTTACGTTCAACCAAGGGAAAGATATGACCTTGGAACCAAAGCAGCCATACTATGAAGCCACTTGTCACCACTCATTATCAACAAGCAATCAAACATAGCACATGTCAGATCACAGTGAAACACATCAGGCTGCTACTCTATAACCAAACAGAACAAAAGGGCACAAGAGTTTGCCAAGGAACATAATATCCCAATTTTAAGGACTTCATCCAGAATTCTGGTCATGAAGTACGAATACCCTGAAGTTAGACTCTTAAACTGGGATAATATTCATTAATTTATTCATTCAACATTTGTGAAATCTCCACTATATATGTTCATGGCAGCTCATACCAGACACAGTCCTGGGGAATGTGGAAACACAAAGATGAGTGAGTGACTTGTCCCTAACCCTGAGGCACTCACATCCTAGTAGAAGATACACAGACCTATTATTATGATACAATGTGGTGAGACAATAATTACTTGTATGAATCCACACACAAGATAATAAAATTACGTACAAAGAAAATTAACTCTGCCCGTGTAAGAGCACTTCACTGAGAAGAAAACCACTGTACAATGTGTTCATGAAAACAAAAAACTTCCTCACAATACATAGTGAAGAACAAAGTCTTAAATATTTATTTTTTAAAAGTATTAGCTCATCAGTTCTTAAAGCAAGTGGATCCATTTTTAAATGATAATGTAGAATGTAATATTCCAAGTCCTTTACAATTGAGTACCATATTGAAATCAGTACTCCCCAACAGTTAACAAACATTCAGCTAAGAAACCAAAATTCATGGAGGATTCCCAGAAAGACACACAGTCCATTCAATCTTTTTGCCTGCCTGGGACGAGAGGAAAGAGAGCAGCAGAAAGCAGAGCTCTGCATAGTGTGGTGCTGGGCCGCCAGAGAATAATTTTTCTGAATTGTACCCTGATGTGCAGTCATCTTGCCTGCCCAGATGGTCACAAAGAGAAATACTCTCTCAATCTCTCTCTCACTCTCTCAATCTCTCAATCTCTCAATCTCTCTCTCTCTCTCTCTCTCTCTCTCTCTCTCTCTCTCTCTCTCTCTCTCACTGTCTCTCTCTCTCTCAATATTCAAGCTGTTCATTCTCTATGAAAACCTCTCAATCGATCAATCACTGTCTCCTTCCCCTCTCCCCCACCCCTATTTCAAATGTATATTACATAATTTGTATAAGCTCCTATTTTTAAGGATAGCAATTAACCAACAGATCCTGCTCTCTCATCCTAATTTGTACAGTCTGCTTACTAACATAGGAAAGAGTTAACATACTGCATCTCAAACACTAGTGGCAACAGTGTTTCTGCTCTGACCCTTCTGATGCCAGGGTGTAAGAGGCAAGCAGATAACCTTACTGCTTCAGTCCCCTCATTCTTAATAACAGCATTGATGTATCCTGGAGAGCAATGACAGACCCTTCTTACTCTCTGACTGTCTTGGCTAAATGCCTTGGGTTTCTTTCATCCACCTTGGCTGATAATGTCTCAATTTCATCAATTTCCTAGGTAACAGTCTCAGCATTAGGTTTTGAAACTCTAATACTGTACAGTAAATCAATACCTTAACCTTCAAAAGATATATATTAAATTCAGGGTCCAACCTTTAATTTGCCAGCTATTCTTCTGCAGTCTTCTAGAATTCTAACAGTAGAATAACCCCTCAAAATTTTTACACAAAGGAAGGACAGCATGAAATACTAAAAGCTTTTGTTGCATCCTATTTCACACTGGGTCCAATGCTGATTCTCTTTGGGAGAATTTAAGAATGCTACAGTGGGCAGGACTCGGTGGCTCAGCCTGTAATCCCAGCACTTTGGGAGGCCAAGGCGAGTGGATTGCCTCAGCCTGCAGGTTCGAGACCAGCCCAGGGAACTTGGTGAGACCTCATCTCTACAATAAATCAAAAAAATTAGCCAGGTGTGGTAGCGCATGCCTATCCAGCTACTTGGAAGGTTGAGGAGGAAGCATCGCCGGAGCCCAGCAGGTCAACTCTGGGTTGGCCATGTGTGCCACTGCACTCCAGCCTGGGTGCTACATTGATGTTTAATGTGTTTCCTATAGGCCCAAAGCAAAGGCCTTAACAACACACATAGTCTTCATCAATATAGCAAAACAACCTCTTAATCTAAGGGAGTAAAAAAGAGAAGTGACCATCTATCATGGACA